TATGTTTTGGATACTTACTAAAACAATGTATGAAAGTAATGAGAAAGTGGCCACTTTCATGAGTAAATCATGTAATCCTTATATGATTTACTCATGAAAGTGGCCACTTTCATGAATAATCACATATAAGTTTTTACTATTTCTTTTCCATATGGGATAATAGCTTACTTACAACTGGGCTGCAGTGGTTATTATTATATTTACATGCTTCCATCTCCTGTTTCTGGTCGGTGACAACTCTACTGTTCAACTCTCCTTTTTCTTCCTCCCTCATGCTCACAGACACATAACGGGTATGGCAATGAATTCTCCCTGCAGCACAGACTACACTGCCCAGGCTACATTCTTTAGGGCTATACCTGTAACACCATGCAACACTGATGTTAGGCTATGCCCTTTCTATTTTTAGTTATTCCACACCAGTGGAAACCCAAACAAAACACGCAATAAAAGGCTCTAATGCCTGTGTCTCAATCTTACGGCACATGTCACCCATACTTGCGGCCCGCATAAATGACGTGAAGAACAAAGTAAAGCTGGTGTTCGGCGATGAGCCCGACATGGAAACCGACGTATTAGCCAGAGGTCCCTTTGCTACGGTTCGGAGCCGCGGACCTGTTTTATATACGCGCGGAATAATCACACAGCAATAGTACATTCATGTAGATGTAAAATGCACGATAATATTATTAAGTAATCCAAAGTATTCCGAATACGTTACTCTCATTGAGTAACTTAACAGAATACGTTACAAAATACATTTTGGGTCATGTATTCTGTAATCTGTACTGGAATACATTTTAAAAGTAATCTTCCCAACACTGTGGTCATGGAATATCAGATCATTTACCACCTGCAAGAGAGTTGTTCAATCACCAAAGTGGACAAGGAGAACTTTTACTGTGGCCGTGTGCCTGCTTGCTCGACCAATTGGCACTCAAGGTCTGATCTTCCCTTGCAGGAAGTTTGTTGAACCATCAGCCTCACCTGTCTTTTTCCACCTTCACTGCTCATTATAACTCAAAAAGGGAGCAGGCTGCTTATATATAACTGGGAGATATGCATGTATATATACTCTAAGTGATTGTCTCTGTTTGCAAAATAGCGTTCAGGATGTTCAAATCAGGTTTATTAATATTCACAGCTGCAAAAACCCGACAACCTTTTGTTTGTTACAGTTTGGTTTTCACAATCTGAGTAATAATTAGAGGGCTAATTACAACTCAC